TGAATGATTGGAGGTGAATATCAGGCTATTTTCTTATTCAGATTTGGTAAGGCTAACAGATTAGCAGACAATTGCTATTGGAAATACAGTTTGTTAGTCACATTCCGCAGAGGAGAGGGTACATTACTCCATGGAGGAGCCACACAGGGAAGCACCTGAGCTGGTCAGGAGGAGAGGGAGTGAGGAGGAAACATAGGCAAGAGCCTTTATTTAGGTTTCACTGGGAAAGAATAAGTGAGGCAGGGTAAACAGGCTTAGGATTGGCTAGTCTGAATAATTCCAGCGGGCTCCAGGTGTAGGGCTGTCTGGCACCCAGCATTTGAGTGATTAGGACCAAGGGATAGTTATGATCCTCAGATGAGGTGATGGGGGTATGGACTTTGGGCTGATTAGTAGGCAGATGAAAGGCGTGCTCACTGGCTAGTCACCTACCATCTCTAGAAAGTGGCTAGCCCTGAAAGGGGCAGTCTCTCCAGGATCAATAGGGCCCTTGATATCAAAGCATGAGAAACACAGAAAATAAAAAAAAAAGCATCATTAAGACACTGGCCACACTTGGGAAATGGTGCAAATATTCCTTTTATCCTTAAAAGTCTGATGTAGGCAAGCAGAGATGTTATCTTTCTCTTTGCTTTCCACCTTTCTTTTTAAACCTACGAGTACTTGTGTAAAAGTGTTTACTGGTAATAATTATAGCTAAGATGTATTAAACCCTTACTCTGTGTTTAGCACTAGCATAGGAACTTGACATGCATCAACCAATTAGTGTCCACAACATCCCATGCAGAGTGTATAGTTCATATTCTCATTGTGCACATGAGGAAGAAGGAGCCTTGAGAAATTACATAACTTATCAAGGTCACATAGAGTGGCTATGTGACACTCTTATTCTCTGTGCTGTTCTCTGTCTCCCATTCATTTTATTCCAGATATTTGCTTGTGCATCTGTTGGTGCGGCTAGTTTCGGCAGTGCAAAACGTTGGCCAGTTCTTCTCACCTGTGTGGTGCCATCAGAGAGCGGGCACCACATAAACCTTTGGGGGTTCCGCGAGTAAAGCTTCCATCACCGTTCTCTTTAATTTTTTTGCTTTATTACCTTCTTTTTTAATTCTAT